ATAGATAGATAGATAGATAGATAGATAGATAGATAGATAGATAGATAGATAGATAGATAGATATAACCTGGTTTTTTTTCCTCTATCAGGTGTGGGTGCAATGACATGGTCTCCTCTCGCATGTGGAATTGTTTCTGGAAAATATGACAGTGGGATCCCGCCCTACTCAAGGGCCTCACTGAAGGTAAAGCAAGCCCATCTTGAGTTGGGGAGCAGCAAGAACGTGCTGGGTACAAGGAGCTTTGGCCAGGACCCCAATTCTCTGTCCACTAAGAGCTCAGCAGCCAGCAGAAGCCCTACGTGCCTTCCCAAAGAATGGGCCGTGGCCACCTCTCGGGCAGTAAATGAACTGATGATGTGTCTCTGTATCACTAAGTCCTCCAAGTACAGGGGCTGGCCCCACACTGGGCTAGGAACACGCGCGCACGCACACACACACACACAGACACACACACACACACACACAAACACACCGGCCCCCAGAGTGGCCGTTCTCAAGGTGGTCTGAACAAAGCCCTCCCGGGCTACATGGCCGTTCCTATAAGTGCCATGGCACACAGTATTCAATCAAGCAACAAGCATCTATTGAGTGTCTACCGTATGCTGGGTGCTAGGATCATGAAAGAATCTCTCTTCTTATTAAGTGCCTGCTGTGTACTGGGCATCATGTCAGGCTCTAGAGGAGATGCAAAGTCCTTGCCCTCAAAGAACTTCCAGGATGCTAAGACCTAACTAAACTCACATGATTGAAATGCATGTTTGGTGATAAGAGCACCTGAGAGGTGCAGATTAGGTGACACCTGAGAAGAAAAGTCATTATTGCCCAGAAGGTTCAGGGCAGACTTCCTGGAGGAGGCAGCATTTGAGTTGGTTTTTAAAGGCTGGGTAGGAATTCAGCAAAGAAAGGGAAGGAAGGCATTCCAGGCAGAAGGAGCAGCATGAGCAAAGGTGCAGGGGTGGGAGAGAGCAGTATGTTGCGGGGGGCAGAGAATTGCCCCATTCCCACCCCCACCCTGACCACCTCCAGCCTTGTGGTTTGAGGTGGCTTGTCTTCACCTCTCACTCAAAATAACCATCCTAAGGCACTGCCCTGACCAAGCCAGTCCCCTGCACAAAAGCCTTCACTGGCTCCCTGTTGCCTCATCAATAACACGCACACAGCTCATGCGAACTTGTAAAGCCCTCCCCAACTGGGACTCAGCCCATGGTTCCTTATCTCACTGCCTTACCCCACAGAAGTGTCCTTCATGCCCTGGACATCCCAGCCAGGCAGGACCCCAAGCTCAGCACTGCATCTCCTCCTGCCTTTGTGCGTTTTAACCAAGAGCCCGTCCGGTCCTTCATCCCCCACTCCCCACATCTCCATCTCTCCCAACCCTCATATGCCTTCAAGGCTCAGCCTTCCCCATCTCCTCTTCCTGCCCTTCTGCTACTTGTCAGTTCTCTCCCCTTTCCCAAATTTTGGATCAAAGGATTATAGATTTAGGACTGGAAGACTTTAGAAGCCACTGATAGTCTAACCCTCTCATTTTGAGAGTGACAAAGTTTAATTTGTGCATTTATTGCCTGTAAGCCCCTCGAGGGCAGGCTTCTGGTACCTAACATGGTGTCTTGCTCAAAGCCTTTGTGGAATTGACTTGAATGACTTGGAGTTGGGGGGGTGGGGCAGAGTGGAAGCATTGTCAGGGGTCTGATTCCTGGCTCCCCCTTACCAGATGCCTGTCCCTTGCCTTGAGTTTCCAATTCTACAAAGCTCAGGGAAGCTGGTACAGGAGGCTGCCTCCATTTGCCCTGGGGAGGTGACCACCCTGGTGTGCTGCAGGTGGGTAATGGACTCTGGCCTCTGATCCCTGGTCCATTCCTCGGTGGCCCAGTATACCAAAAGAGACTGGGCTAGGGTGCCACAGATGCCCCGAGCAGGGGATGGGGCGTCCTGGTCTGGGTTTAGAAATAGGGCCAAGAGGGGTGCTGGACTGGCAGGCAGCCTCAGGGCTTGGAGGAGGAAAAGGAAGAAGAAAGAAACTGGACCGAGTGCTCAGCTGGGAGTGCACATTGGAGGCAGACAGCCCACAGCTGCCTCTCTTCCGTGGGCCTTGGTAGGCCCCTCCTGACCTGTGTTCCACTTCCCTCTTTCCTGCCTTCATCCCAGGGATACCAGTGGCTAAAGGACAAGATCCTGAGTGAGGAGGGCAGACGTCAGCAGGCCAAGCTGAAGGAGCTCCAAGCCATCGCCGAGCGCCTGGGCTGCACACTCCCGCAGCTGGCCATCGGTAAGAGGGAGACGGGCTGGGAGCATGGCAACGTGTGTCCGAGCAGAACAAGGGTGGCCTGCCCCTCAGGGAACTTCTTTATCCCAGCGTCCCCTTCCCCAGACGTCCATCCTGGCAGAGTCCAAAGAAATGCTTATTGTTTGATTAAAGCCACCCCCTCCCTGCTACCGCCACCACTACCTTTACTACTGCCACCATTGCTACCACCATGACCACCAGCATTGTTACCACCCCTACTGCTACCACCACCACCACCACTACCATCACCACCACCACCACCACCACCACCACCACCACTACCACTACCATCACCACCACCATCACCACCATCACCACCACCACCACCACCACCACCACCACCACCACCACCACCACCACTACCACTACCGTCACCACCCACATGCCCCTCAGGTTACAGCTCTTCCTCCTCTCTAACCCCATAGCCCATCAGTTGTCAACCAATCAATCAATCAGCATCTGGCCCCTTTCCATTCCTCTCACAAGACCCTCCATCTCTTGGCCCTGTGCACTTTCCCTGGGTGTCCCCCGTGCCTGGAATGCTCTCTCTCCTCATCTCTGCCTCCTGTCTTCCTTCAAATCCCAGCTAAAATCCCACCTCCTGCAAGATGCCTTTCCCAGTCCTCCTCATTCTCAATGCCTTCCCTCAAAGATTCCCTCCAGCTCCTCTATATATCTTATGCGTACCTAGTGATTTACAGGTTGTCTCCCCCATTCGAATGTAAGCTCCTCGAGGGCAGCGCCCTTTTTTGCCTTCCTTTGAATCCCCAAGGCTTAGCTCTGTGCCGAGCATCTAGTAGTAGTAGTGTTGATTTGACTGGACTTGCCTGCTATGTGCTAGGTACTAAGGCCACAAAGACGAAAATGAAACAGCCTGCCCTCAGGGAGCTTACATTCTAATGGGGGAGGCAGCATACATGTATATGTATATGCAGAATCTATACAAAATGAATACAGAGGGGCAGCTAGGTGGCGCAGTGGATAGAGCTCCAGCCTTGAAATCAGGAGGACCTGAGTTCAAATCTGCTCTCAGACACACAACACGTACTAGCTGTGTGACCTTGAGCAAGTCACTTAACCCCAATTGCCTAGCAAAAAGAAAAAAAGTGAATACAGAGTATTTTGGAGGCAGAAAAAACCTCTACAGCACAAGGGGAGCACAAAAGGTGGCATCTGAGCAGTCTTGATGAAAACCCAAGTTTCTAGGTGGGTGGTGCAGTGGGTAGAGCACTGGACTCAGAGTCAGAGAGATCTGAGTTCAAATCCTGCCTCAAACATTTACTAACTAGTAAGTCACTTTCCCTCCCTGATCCTCAGTTTCCTCATCCGTAAGATAAGGGGGCTGGACTTGCCGGTCTCCCGGGTCCCTTCCACCTCTGAATCTCTGATCCCACAAAAGACAGAGGAGGAGAGGAAGCATATTCCCAGCAAGAGGGCAGACAGGGAGGTTTGTTCACGTCCCAGACATCAACGGCTCTCGTCTGACTGCTGGAATGGCCTCCCGACTGGTCGGCATTACTCAACCGCTCAGTCACTTACTGTGTGCCATGCATGGCTTCGAAGAGAGTGTAGAAACATTCTTGCCCTCAAGGATCGTACACGATGATGAGGGATTCCGCGTGGAAATCACGAAGCACGTTCAGAACTGATGGGACATAAGCTCCGACGGGGAGGCGCCGGCAGCCGGTGGCCTTCTGGGGATAGCTGGCACCCCGCCTCCCCACTTTGCACAGCCTGACCAAGCCAATGTCACTGAAGCGCAAGGGTGACAGCGCTGCTCCCCAGCCCAAAAAGCTCCAGGGCCTCCCTAAGCCCTCCAGGACAAAACACCGGCTCGGAGGCTCTTGTCCCAGCGTGGGCTCACCCCCATATGTTCTACCTTGCATCTATACTGGCCATCCAGCTGGGCCCCATACCTGGGCATCCAACCTCCACACCTTTGCATGCGCTGTCTGCCTTACCTGGAAAGTACTCTCTCCTCACCTCAACCTCCCTTCAAGGCTTAGATCCAGTTGGCACCTCCTCCTTGAGGCATTTCCCAATGCCCTCATTGATAGTGCCCTCCCTACCCTGCTCCCCGAAGTTATTGTGTTTTTGCTGTGTATTTGTTTTGTATTTACTAAGGAAGGAGAAAAGGGAAGGGAACAAGCATTTATTAAGCACCTACTGTGTACCCAGCATTATGCAAAGTGCTTTACAAATACTGTCTCAGTTGAGCCTCACAGCAACCTTAGGAGGTAGGTGCTGTGATTATTCCCATTTTACAGATGAAGAAGCTGAGACAGACAAAGGCTAAGTGACTTGCCCAGGGTCACACAGCTAGTAAGAGGCTGAGGTGGATTTGAACTCAGGTCTTCATGATTCTAGACACAGTGTTCTATGTACTATACCACCCAATGATACTAGAAAGGAAGAAAGGAGGGAGGGAGGAAGAAGGAAGGAAGCAAGAAAGAAAAGAAAGAAAGAAATTATTATGCATTTACCATGTGCTAAGCATTATGCTATGGTTTGGAGGGAAATACAAAAGAAAAGACAGTCTGCCCTCAAGGAGTTGCCGTTTCTGATAATAGGAGACAGACAATAATGAAAAAGCCAGGGAAGGGTACTTTGGTCTGGAAAGTTCTGTTCCCAGTGAATGAGGCCTATGGGGTAGGTGGACACCCCCTTCTTCGAGCGACAGCAGAGCTGATCTGATCCCTGGGAAGGCTAAGGGGGCAGGGGCGGCAGCACACACAGCAGCGAGGCGGCTGTAAAGAAGATGGCCGGGGCAGAGGGAGTAAAGGGAAACGCGGCCGGGACGTGCCTGAAAGAGCAGGCCACTGAGCAGCTGGGCCAGCAGGGCCCAGAAGGGCAGTTGGGAAGCTGAGTCCTCTTTGCAGAGTCCAGTCCAGGCAGCTAGGTGGCTGATGAGAAGATGGTCAAGGAGCAGCAGGCCAGTGCATGTTGTTTCTTCCCAATAGAATGTAAGCTCCTTGAGGGCAGGGACTGTTTGGCTTTTGTCTTTCTACCTCCATAACCTAGCACAGTAGGTGGCTAATAGATGCTCAAGCTGACTCATCCTCCCCTTTGCTATCCCCCAGCCTGGTGTCTGAGGAACGAGGGCGTCAGCTCCGTGTTGCTAGGTGCCTCCAACGCAGACCAGCTAATGGAGAACATTGGTGCGATACAGGTGAGTGCCCTGCTGCTTGGTGAGGGGTGGCTGGGGCACTCTCCAGGGCCCAGTGGCAGCTCTACCTTTCTTCAGCCTTCACGTTTACTTCCTCTCAGGTCAGGCACAGCCCCATAACTACCTGGCCACAGGGCAGGGTTTCCCAGTAGCTCTGCCACCGAGGCAGCAGGCCTTGTTTAGAGCTAAGAGCTAACTTAGAAACCTCCCTCCAGCCTGCTCCCTTTCCAGCCACAGGGAAAGCTTTCCTTGGGTCTTGGACAGCCAAGGTAACGTGGCTGTCAGGGCCTGGCGTGCTGCAGGCGCTGAGTGTTGTAACAACCCAACGGCCAATGACAGAAAGATTAGCTTGGAGAGACCCCTTACTGGCCACTTCTCAGGAATCTTTCTGTAGACTCTGTGTCCCGTATCTGATTTGGGTAAAAATTCTAGGCCATCCATTCCCACTCCTTCCCCATCGCTCAGCCAGCAGCACACGGTGCCTCTCACAGGCCCTGGGGGCAGCAGCAGGAAGGGGACCATCTTTCTGGGGGTGCAAACACTGGCCAAAGGTTAGGCCTCAAAGGGACCTGCCTCCCAAGAGTCATGATCTTCCTCCATGCCCCCCAAACATTCTTAAATGCCAATTTCCATCCGCTACTTATCAGTCACACATTTTGTACCCTCATTCCATGGAACAGTAGGAGTACTGTGAGATCCCAGCATTACCCTGTCTGCCCATGACCCTCAGGCTGTTTGTCTTTGCAGGTCCTTCCCAAATTGTCGTCTTCCATCATCCATGAGATTGATAGTATTTTGGGCAATAAACCCTACAGCAAAAAGGACTACCGATCCTAATCCTCCCGTCCTCCCTCCCTTCCCAACCTGGATCTGCCTGGACAGTTACTGTTTCCCTCCTAGTCTCCTGTTCGCTTGCTTAAGCTGTTATTGAAGCAAGGTGAAGCCTGTGCTTTTGCATCCAAGAATCCATGTCGAGATGTCCTAGGGAAGATCTTTCAGACGTTGCTGTGAGACAACATATGCTGCTTTACTCTAATAAAATTTATTTCGTGCTCAAGAAACAGTCCGGGTGAGGAAGGCTCCTCCAACGTGTTCTCCACCCTCCACAGGGCCGTCTCTGCTCAGCTCATCCTCTTGAAAAAAGACAACCAAGGTTTCCCCTCCCTCCTCTGCCTCATCAAAAGGAGGCCCCTGAACCAAATCCTAGCCTAGAACTGGCTTGTGTTGTCTGATCAGAGATGTGGTGAGTTCTACCTGGAAAAGCCCCCATCCATGTGTGTCTGCGAGCACTTTGTTGTTTTTCTATTTAAACACACACACACACACACACACACAATGTATTTATGGAGTGTAGCTTCTCGTGATAGCCTGAATGTCTGCGTTGACCAAATGGGCAATATGAGGGCTTCCAGAATATCCCCTCCCTTTACTCCATCGCTAGTACAGATTGCCATCAGGCCTCTCTCATAGCTGTCAATTCTTCTGCATGTTTCTCATCAGAATACTGACCCAGGCTTGTAGGGTTTGCTCAAACAATACTTTCCTTCCATCCACACCCCACCACTGTCCCACACCCTTACTTATCTGGGTAACCCCATCCAACAGACTTCAGGCTTGATTTGATATTCTAGGAGGATACATAAATCTCCTCTCACCTGACCCTGGAGTTCAGTTTTAGAGTATATCTCTACTCTCCCCAGCATCCTTTGATCTAGGCCCAGTTAAAGTCAGCAGAGTGGATCCAGAGTCATCTGAGAAAATGAGAATTGTGCTTAAGGAACCCTCTTAGAAATGACCTTAGGGAAGGAGACCCTGATTTGTTTTGTATACATCATATCCTAGGGAGGGAGGGTTTCGAAAAGAAGTCCAGCAGCCACATTTCCAAAATAGTAGGAGATAATGGCCACTTCTGAAGCGTCCTTCACCAAAATTGATATAATTCCCTCCATCCTACCTCATCCTCCTTTGTGAGACTGAATGACAACTTGGGGTAATTGGATAATGCCCCAAGATAGAAAGACTAGGGCTTAGGCTCTTAGGCTTAGAAAGGACCGTAGAGGTCCTCGAGCCTAGCCTCCTACAGATGAGAACACTGAGGCCCAGTGAGGTGGTGACACAAGTGGTCAGATTAACCTCGGTCCTCTGCCTCCCATGGAGTTAGGACTCTTTCCACTGTTTATCTACATGGAGCTGATCCTCTTGACTCCTTCTCAGTGGATGAATTCCTGGAAAAGGCTTGCTATTCCCTTTTTGCACATATCCCTCCAAGGTAGCCATGGCCCAGTTAGCTCTCACCTGCTCCCAAGCCCCATCCCCCTTCCTCAGTGTGGTTCCACAGACCCTGGGGGCACCTGGCACTTTATATCGCCTCCATGGCCTAGCCTGGAGCTGGGTGGCTGGAAATCCAGGCAGGCAGCAACCCAGCTCACTCTCACAAGTGTAAGCCTTGGGGCTCAGGGATGTGACTCCATGCTACCTTTGTGACTTTAGCCAGAGACTGAGTTCTACCCAAGACAAGCCCACACTAAAAACAACATAACACACACACAAACACACACACACACACACACACACACACACACAAACATACACACACACAATGCAGTGAAAATCCAAATCTCACAAGAAATAAGAAAGGCCTGGGCCTCCCAGGAAACACTCACAGGGGCTGATTTTGTCCATCCCCCAGTCTTCAGACAGGAGCTGGTAGCCACAGTATGTCATGAGATTCTGACAAAAGAAAGAATGTAGGACGATGGGAAATCACACTCCCCCTTCAGCCATATCTTTCTTCCCCTCCCCTGCCCCCCAGTGCCAGTGGCCATTTGGGTATTCTCCATGTCTAGAGTGCATCTGTTCTCAGTTTATGTTTCTGAGAAGCTGGTATTCCCAGAAATTCTCCTCTCTGACCTACTAAAAGGTCAGAAGGAGCTAGACAGAGGTAGTAATATTGCCTGTGGTAACTGGCATGAACCAAGCCACATGAGTTCATTAAAACCCAGACATTCCACTAGCAAATGGTTTGGATTTGCCCAAGAATAGGAGAGAGGCTGGCTCTCAATCCTTCCCTTTACAGACTATTCCAGCATCTCCTGAGGAGTTTATCCCAACTCACCAGTAAGCAGTAGTAACAAGCAATGAACCCTTCCTTCCTAGAGATGGGGAAGGGGGAGAATAGAAAAAAGAATTTTTGAATAACCACGATCAAAATCACTGGGAGCTCCTCAGCCACTGTTGGCTACTATAAATCAGAACAGAGCTTATAAAATGCTCACTGTATGTCAGGCACTGTATTAAGCACTGGGATTATGAGAAAAGGGGGAAAAACCCAAGCTGGAGACCATCCCTGAAGCTAACTGGCACACTTAGTTGTTGAGGTGTTCACCTCCTTGTTCATGCCCACCTACCTACCTCAATCTGTCGTGTTGTAAGAGAAGTCCCTGCCTGGCCCTCGCCCTCAGTCACCTGGTAATTACAGTGAGTCCTTAAGAAGGAGCAGAGAGGTGGTGCTGAACAGTAAGCAGTGCCCAGGGTAAACTAGCCTGGGTACCCTCCGTTCCAGCTCCCAGAGAGAAACTCCCAGAATCTGAGCTGAGAATGACCTCTCTGGAACATTGCTCCTAACTCTGCCCTGAAGGGCCATGCAGAATGAGGGTGATGATCCAGGGTACCCAGTGAGCCCAGATTAGCTCTGTGCCCTTCAATTAACCAGTTAATCAACAAGCATTTATTGAGTACCTCACCTGTGCCAGGCACATAGAGTGAAGTACTAGAGATACTGAAACAAAGAAGAAACGTGCCTTGGGGCACAGACGTGTTGGGTCAGCCCAAACACAAAGCTGTGTTCTCTGGACTTGCTGCAGGGACTGGGAGCCTTGGACCATGTTGGGTGCCCAGGGGCAGGTGATCAGAGCTGCAAAGGATGGAGTCAGCATGAATTAAACTCCTGAGAGGGCCTGGATTCTGGCATCACAACCCATCATGCCTTTATGTGGTGCCGCAAGCCTCCCAAAGTACTCTACACACTTCAGGGTAGATAGGGACTAATGACCCTGGTCAAGGGTCCCTTAACCCTTCAGGCCCTATTTCCACCTCTGTAAAACTGAGCATGTGCATGTCCCTTCCAACACTGACTCAATGATTCAGTGACTTGATGGCTTGTAAGGAACCAGCCCCACCCAGTGTGGCCCCATGATGAGGTCTCCAGGTTAAGGGAGGCTAGCCTCCTCCATGGGCAGAGGATAGAGGAAGACCCAGGCCTTTCCCTGTTCCCAGGAGGAAGCCATCTCCACTTCCTTGTACTGACCAGCCTGAATCCTTAGAATCTCAGGGTTGGGAGGGACCTCAGCAACAATCTGGCCCAACCCAGACCTGAACAATAATCTTCTCTGTAACACACCCAGTGAGTGGTCATCAAAGACCTCTGGTGAGGGGGAGCCCACCACCTCCCAAGATTTTCCTTTCATTGGGTCTAAATCTGTCTCCTGGTTCTGCATTCTGGGGCCAAGCAGAACAAAGCCAATCTCTCTTCCATGAGAAGGCCCTTTCAATAGTAGTTGTCGTCAGGAAGGAGAGCTTTCTTCTTACCCAGCCAGATAGGCATGCCTTGGCCAAAGCTTGACACCATCATAGCAGCTGTGGCAGGAGCTTAAGCCAGGAAGGACTCCCAACCTGGCCTCTGGATGGCAATAGACTCAGTGGAAAGATGAGAATATGGAAGTCCCAAGGAAACCTTTGGTAATGGCTCAAAAACATAAGCTCAATGGGAGTCCCAGTGTTCATTGGCTATGTCCACCACTAGTATCAGAATCATAGAATTTGAGATTTGGTAGGGATGTGAGGGCCAGCTTATATCTGAAAAGAGACAGGATTTAGAGGTGGGAAGGACCTTGGAGACCAAGTAGGCCATAGGTTCTTAACCTTTTTTATGTCATGGACCCCTTGGGAAGTCTGGTAAAGCCTGTTTTCCAATGCACAAAATAAAATACATAGGATTACAAAAGAAATCAATTATTCTGAAATACAGTGATCAGTTGTTTTGGTTTTTTTTTTTTTTAGTTCATGGACCTCAGATTAAGATCAAAGCTAACCCTCTTGATGATTTCATTGGGTTCAACAGAATTCCTTTTACAGATGGAGAAGTGAGGCCCAGAGGGTTGAAGTGATATAGGCAGTAGTCAGGGCGGACAGAAGTGGTCAGTCATAAATAACATGTCTCCTGCAGTTTTTCTTACTTTGTGGGCACAGCTTAGGGGAGAGGGGACGGCTCCTTCCAACTCTAACACTGCAATTCTGGTTCTAGAGATGGATATATACAATATATACAGGGACCCACACTGGCCTTCTCCTCCCCACTGCCCCTTAAAAATAGCCAAAGGGCCAGTGGATAAGAGCACGTGTGCTTTGGGGAAAAGCAAGCCTTGGGAAGGGGGAACTGGGAATGTAATCCTGGCCTCCATTGGCTAATTCCCTGGCCGTTCCCTCAATCTCTAACGTACAGGACATATCTGAACACTCCATCAGGTGGTAAAGGTGAGAGAGAGAAAGAGCTCTGCCCCTAGAAAGTCTTGAGGGAGGTGGGGTTGGGGGGGGAATCCTCTGCCATCCTCCCCCCCCCTTGCTGGCTCCGACCTCTGGCTCTTTCTCCTTCTTCTAACCCTGGTTGTACATTATTAATGGAACCTAGAGCTCAAGTGGAGAAAACTATTCAGTGTCTGAACCCAAACAAATTATCTTTCCAGAAAGCCATTCAATGAGGGATTTTTAACCTTTTTGGTGTGTGTCTTGGACCCTACCTTTGGCAGTCTGGTGAAGACTTTGGACCCCTTCTCAGAATCGTCTTTTTAAATGCAGAAACAAAATGTATAAGATTACAAAGAAAATCAATTATATTGAAATAAGGATGTAATTTTCTTTTCCCATCAAAATTCATGGAGCCCTTCAAACCTGACAGGTCTATGAAACTCCAATAAAGAACCTCAGAATTAGGATTCCAAGTAAAAGCCCAAGGGGCAGATGAGTGTAGAGTTGGGCTAAGCCATAGGTGGAATGGGTGGGCAGG